ATATAGGTCGTTTTGGGTTTTTTATTGAGGAAAAAGTCTTCAAAGTTGTTCACGCTTGAATTTAGTTTTGAATTGAGGTTTGAATTTTCAGTTTGTTTGTTAACAGGAAAGAACATTCCGCTCTCGATTTAATTATGTTCTTTTTGGTAACTTATGAGAGTTTGAAAAAAAAACAGTTTGGGAAAACTGCCACACGTTAGATTTCGTGCTATTAACGCGTAAACGGCAGTTAAATCTGGCTCAAAATTGTTTCAAATTTAACTGAGACATGCCTTTGGTCTTTTTATTAAGTTACTAGATACTAAATGCGTGTAAAGTGAATTATCAAGTTTTCTTTTCGTAAATATATCGCGCGTTAGGTGAATTTTAAAACTTCGCCTACATTTCACAAATAATTAAAATAAAAAACTACGTCATAGACGCTGAAGGGCAGTCGGAGTTAAATGTTTACACCAGTGGACTTAAGTGAGCGTTGTGTAAAAATACGACTATTCTTATAATTCTAACCTAAGTCGCAACTATTGGTGCCACTTTTGGGGCACCTTTACATTGACATGCGATATATTCTAAGTTAACACAATTGGTGAATTTCTCACTGTTTAGATGAACATATAAAAAAATGCTTCAAATATTAGTAGAATAACAAAAAAAAGTTCATTACAGAATTATCCAGCTCAATCCATATCGCAATGTTTTTTAATTGCAAAATTTATACATATTTTGGTTTTCTGCTTTCGAATTTGCATGCAAAGTTAGCGTGGATTCCTTCAGTTTGTTATATTTAAATTTGTTTTATCCCAAATTGTGTCTATTTGTATTCGATGCCACTCTTGCTGCATTGCATTTGCATTTTATTACCATTTGTAGCTGCTTTATTCGTGACATGTGTTTGTGGGTTGTAGCGCGGACACTGTGTGAGACTCCATATCTCGAGTTTGCAAGTTCGAATCCCATACCTATTATTTTGTACTCCGTGTTTTTTGATGTTATTATTCAAGCAAGTTTACAAGAGTAGTGTTATATTACGAAGTGTTATTCTTCCAATCGAAAATTAAAAGAGCAGATTTATTTGGTGGCACTTTTGCAGCATTAGCATTACATCTGGTTTGCTTTTGCTGCACAACATCTTTGTGTCCGGTTTATTGGTAGCTACAGTTGAGCGTAGCGCATAGGACGTGTTTCTCTTCATCTCGCGGTCAAGAGGTTGATTCTGGCACATAGCAGATATTTTATTAGTTTCAACTTTTTCTTTCCTTTTTTAACCGTTTGACTGTTTGGTTGTTTTTTGGCCGTTTTCTCGCTTATGTTTTCGAAATACTTTCAATTCACTACTCTTGATATTATCCAAAACATCTCAAAATTTAAAAAAAATAATTTAGCGCAATCAAAATAATCCAAAACTTCAAACGTTAATAAGAAACCCTAGAAGTTGAGATTAAAGAACCATTAAACAACTTGATTATGTAAAATATCATTTTTAAAGTAATTTTTTCCCTTCTCAATTTATTTCGACGTATGTTAAGTCAAATTAGGTGCCTCATTTGGCGCCATTTGAGAGACGAAAAAAGTTTTTTAAGATTTTTTGTCAGCCTTGATGGGGCTTATGAAGTTTTTCTATGATAAAGATTTTCAATTATAACAAGAATTTTTTCGCTCAATTGGTGTATAGTTAAGTATTGTCGGCATAGTTGCTCAGTAAACGGCGGCGATTATGCTTGAGATCAAAATGAGAATTAGACATGGAGTGATTTTGAAAGCCAGCTGTTCTTTTTTTACAGAAGAATTAACATAGTACATAAAAACCCTAGAGATGTGCTGTGCAATTTAAATGGGCCTGACAGACCACGTTGGATTTAGTTTTAAATATTTTCTTACCCATTTTTTATCAAAATTGTTATACATTTTTTGTTGCAATAATTTTGAAAGGGTGGGGATGTGGCTGTGAATTTAAGTGGCTGAACTAGCTACAAGCTGACAAGCATCAGTATTTTGTTTCATTTTCAAAGCGTAAATCCACTTGGTCAAATAAGCAAACAAATTACTTATGTTTAGCAGGTTGTCGATAATTCTGCAAGTTAAACTCATTAACACTTCCCCAACCCTTCAAAAACCATTGCAACAAAACAAAAACGAAAATTGTAAACCAATTTTGATTAGCAAACTGTGAGCAATTATTTTAAAGCTGAATCCAACGTGACCTGTAAGGTCCCTTTAAACTGCACGACAACTGCTTAAAGTTTTACCGTACTTAACTAATTTGCATATTCTTTTTTATCATTTTTTTTGTTGAAAAAGAACAGCTAGCACAGCAAATTGCTCCATTTCTGAAAATCTTAGAAACAAAAGCGAATGAAAAGAAGGAATTCTCAAATTTTTTAGAAGAGGCAAAAAACACTTCAAATGAATAGCAATTGAAGATTCAGGAGTAGACAGAAAGCGAAAAAAATTGACAAACGAGTTTGGACTGAAAAAAACAGAGAAAACAAACCTCGACATGTTTTGAATTCTTATAGTTCCGCAAAAATAATGTTCAAGTTTTCAGGAATCTCATTCATCGTCGAGAAAAAAATTTATAAAGCGTAAGACCACCTGACCAGGAATTAATTAAATCATGTCAAGGTATAGTTTCTCTGTTTCATTTTTAAATGTTTGAACTCGTTTTTTAATATCCGTTTTTACTTACTGTCTACTCCTAAATCTTCAATTGCTAATCAATCGCCGATCCCATTTCAAAAAGTCTGGAAGACCAAGTTCTTCAGAAAATTTTTATGGCAGATTTTACCGAACAAAACCAAGCTTATTGTTTCACGGATAACTTGCATGTGAAATTTTTGGTTTTCAAACTGCGATTCACAAATGAAAAAATTGAACTTGAATCACTTCAAATTTTATAACTTTAAAAACTTAGGAGTTCTTTTGGGGCTCACCAAATTCTGAAAAGTCAAGCAACAAATCTGAATTTCTTTTTTCTATCAAGAATGATGATTTCATAAAACAGAAACAACATGCACGGCACAAATACCGCCAGAATAAATACAAGCAAAACTGTTTGAAGCTCGACACTGTCTTCTGCCAAAGGGTCACCGCCAATTCCTGAAACACTAATCTCGAAATTTTTCAAATATAAATTTGAAAAAAAAATCGCAATTCTAAGTCTTAGACATCATGGATTATAATAAATTAAACCATTAGTCAGGATGATAGCTTCACTATTTGAAGTTTTTGTAAAAACCTTCGATCTATGCAAAATGTTTTTTCGAATCTTGCAATTGAAACGTAGTTAAGCAAGTCAAGAATTCAAAAAAATAATGCTATCTGGAAATTAAGCCATTTGATTACTAGACTTAACAAATGAAAGCTCAATTCTATATATATTTATTGTATACAGGAGAGGATCTAGGATTTTCTCGAGGGAGGGGGGATTTTCAAAATTTTTCGAAATTTTGTCGACTTTTTTTAGGTAGACCAAATTGATTTTCCGAGATCTTCCAAAACACTTAAAAAAACCTGTTTCGTTAAGAAAATTTTGCGCGGCAGGCAAAATTTTGAAAAAACAGTCGAAAAAAAGGCAGTTTTAGGCACTTTTTGGAAAATGTTGACCAAAAAATTGCGCTTTTTTGGCGCGCGCTCCCCTCAAAATTGAGATAAATTGTCACCAAAAATGGATATCTCAAAATAATACAAAGAGGGGACCTTTTGGGTCGGCATGGGATCGCATCCCTGAGGGAAAGGAAACGTCAGCGCCCGCCCACGACTCCCTAAATTCGCCCCTGATTATATATATATATATATATATATATATATATATATATACATTAGAAAAACATTAAAAAACAAATAAAGAGAAAATGGAATTCATTTTTTTGGTAGCTAGAATTAAACAGCCATCTTTTTGAATTATTTTTTTTTCAATTTCTTTTCCAGCCCATTCTTTTAAAACAATAGTTTTAGGTTTGCTCGTTCTTTCAGCCAGTTACAATCTAAACTGGGAAAGCCGGTTACTCTGCAAATTGCACTGCATTTTCTGACCATTGTCTAAAAAATATAGTTTTTTTTTCAAACTCCGTTTTTTCTGTGTGATGCAATAAAAAACGCTCTGATTGAAAAATTGGAACTAACGTATATTCGACAGTCTCAGCAAAAAAAGCAAAATGGACAACAATTTTGTAGAAAAATGACTAAAAATCCAAAAAAAAATACAAAAAAAAATTTTCAAAACTTTTTCTGTAAGTTTTTCGAGTTTTTGATATTTTAAATTTCTAAATGACCTTAAAAAATCCAAAAAATAACTTTATTTGGGTACAAATAAATTTCACCCCTATATCAATTAAAATTAAGCCATTGTAAGCCCGTTCGCTCGCGTTTAGACTAAAATCTAAAAAATTTTAAACATTTTTTTTCTCAATACCGGTCAATTTTTCGTGAATTAAAATGTCGTTCTAATCGCGAATTAACAGGCTTTAATATGGGATATCACTTAATAAATACCTAAGGTGATAAATAACTCTATAATGCATGGAAAACAAAAAGAAGAAAAGACACGCAAACTAAAACACAACCAAATACAAAATTCCTCACCATTTTTCAAATGATCGAAACAATTATCGATTTTGTAACCAATCTATGTATCTACACAAGCGAAGCTTGTTTGAGAGTGTGAACTGATTTTTTGAACCTAAGTTGAAAATAATTTTGCGACGCAAATATTGTTGCGACAAAATGGGTTTATTTTAAAAGTGTTCATTTTGATCAATAACCAGCTATTAAGTACAGCCAATGCTAAGAGTATTAACACAGATTATATATTACAAATAGCACTTTAGTTTCAAGGTATGCGTAAAACTTGTACTTATAATTGATTCAATTTGAATCAATTTTAAAATCATAAACGAATTAAGAAGTTTGGCGCAGAATTGCGTGAAAACTTACATAATGGGATTGTTTTCGGGGATAAATTGAATAAAAATACGAATCACTCAAATGTTCTGTTTTACTAGGAAATGGAAAACGCATGCTCTCAGCAGGTCAAATCAGCCCATCAACAAATAAAAGAGACATTAGGAGGTTACGAATCAAAAATAAATTCAAACTTCGAGTCTCTCTCGGCCTCTCATCTGGCTAAGGAGGGCGAACTGAAGTGGACTGTGGGCGAGACTGAAGGTCACTTGACAGAGGAGTGTCGAAGAGTGAAAAAAAATTTGGAAGAGTTCACAGAGGTCAGTTTGGGGTTCAAGCTACTTATTTTGTGAAGTTTGTTCTTCATCGTATTTGTTTTTTTTTCATACGATAATCGGCTCGTAGGTTCCAATGGCTGTAAAGATAAACATAGTAAAAAATATCGTTTGATATTCTGGATGCTTTAAGGAATCGACGGAACAATTAATTAAGCTTCTTCAACAAGCAAAATTTTGATTTCAACAATTCATTTTGATCAATTACCAGCTATTATGTACAGCCAATGCTAAGAATTTTAACACAGATTATATATTACAAATAGCACTTAAGCTTCAAGGTATCATGGATTGTAGCGTAGAGGTAGGGAAGGAGACCCGCAACAAAACTAGAGGGTTCCAATCTCTGCAGGGTCGGACCTTTTTAATGAATTTTTTCGTATAATTGGTAAATGCGTCTGCTCTATAAATTGAGGCTTGTTTGTTGGTAATTTTCTTTTTTCAAATTGACTGGTACTTCTAAAGCGTCATAATTGGCTGGCGTCTTTCAGCAATTTTTTTTACTATTTAATTGGCGTTGGTCACTTAAGAGTTTTCGTAGACTCAAAGTTTTACTCATTCAATTTTCCCAGTAGCAATATCGGTCATGTTTTTGCTTTTGTATGCGAAGTGCAGTTTTGCCTCTTTGTTAAATGATTATCTTCATTATATAATTCTGCAACATTTGTTTTGAAAAAGACACCAGATATTTGGAAAAAAATCATTGAACAAAAAAAACAGAAAAAAATTCTGCATTTTTTTGAAAAAAAAATTCTACTTTTGAAGTTCAAAAAAAAATCATGGACATAAAGCTTTATGATTTTCAAGAGCAATTTATGCTAGAAATTTTTGATAAAATCAAACCAATTTGAAAAAAGAAACTGGATCAATAGGTTAATTTATTATTTCGCTGGGGCATACGAAAGGCGCTGGGGAAACTTAAAATTAATCACGTTTTTCTTGACATCAACATTTTTGCTGAGGGTTACGGGACTTTGCGTTCAGAAATGGCAAAAGTGAACTTAAAAAAAAACACAAGTCAAACCGCACGAAAAATCAAATTTTAGGGTGAATAAATTAGAGACTTTTTCCTGAAGAAAAAACAAACAAAATAACACTAAGACCTATTCACTGCTTTCTAATAACAAAAGAAAAAAATTTTGTTGACTCGAATTGGAAAACAAATAGGTCAAAAAACCAATCATCTGATATTCCTTTATTTTCTCGCGCCAAAAAAGTGACTTGTAAACATTTGTTAGCTATCGTTGCATTTGTGAACCTTGTATTGAATCCAGCTGATAGTTGTAAAAATTGAGATCAAAGTTACTTTCACTTTCTCTTTTTGTTTTGCGGTCATCATTGAGAATATAGAAATGTGGCAAAAAAAAAACTTTTTTCGCCGTATTGCTTTTAGTTTCTTTTTTTTGTCTGCTAACTTTCCTTATTATATCGCTGGGTTTTCTATTATTGTAGCTGAAAAATTAGATTGAAAGTTCAAACTTGAACCTTAATTTTTTTTAAACAAAATTATATTTTTTTTCGTTTTTTATGAACCATTTTTTTCCATTATTTTTATTTTTCGTTGTGAACAAAAATTTTGTTTTTAGCATTTGTTCTGGGCTCGTGATTTCATCTCAAGCCCTGCGGGAAAGCAGCAACTTCAATTTTTTTGTTTTTTTTTTCATAACCAATTTATTCCAATACAAACAATCAATCTTGCAACCAAGCTACTTGTTCAAATTACTACTCTGTTTCTGTGTGTACATTTTTTTTCATACAGCAAATCTAGTATTTTTCGATAATTTGATGCAAAAAGTACATTGATCGGAAGTCAAGTGAAGTTTCGTTTAAACTCAGCATCTTAATTTCTCGAAAATTGTTTGGTCCGCAATGGGACGAAAACTATTTAAAAAAAATCTTTTTGCATAGTTTTTTGCCAAAATATCGCGTCTGATTGCTTTTTGTTGGATAAATTGCTGCTTGATAAAAGTTATTGAATGATTTTTTTTGATGGCAACTGTTTTGCACGACGTGTTTTCCCTATAAGTTGAAAGTAATTCAAGGGGTATTATGCGTTAAACAAACCAAAATTAGGAAAATAGTCAGACATTTTATTTCAAATTGAAAACACGTAATCAACATACAATTATTTCAGTTATTACATATTATACGAGCCAATCAGGATTAATCTCAGTATCAACCGAAATGGCTGACCTAGTTGCTCGAATTTGATTGGCTAATATTTGCCAATCAGGATCAGTTTCCGTTTTAGTTTTCATTTTGCTTCAATTTTGATTTTTGGGCCGTTTAACGCATAAGACCCAATTCAAGATTAAATTATGAAAATTTTAGTTGTTGTGTATTGTTGCTATCTTAAAATGCTGTAGTAATGTAGTTTTTCCAGGGGAATTAAAGGGTTGTTAAGATTCCTGTCACCAATTTGAACATAAAATGTCATAAATCAGCCGCATTGACTTTCTTTTTCAACTTGATACAACTACTGAAAAACACTAATATCAAAAGAGCGTGCTCCTATCAGGCAAAAGCAAAACTTTAAAAGTTCTGACTGCCGAGTTCATAAAATTTTTAAAATGTTCAATGGGTTGTTGTTTCCAACTTCGTTTATCAAATTTTCTGGGGCAGTACAATAGTGCCGAAGTACAACAGTGCCAAAAATGAAAACTTTGTTCAACAGTGCCGAAAATGAAAACTTTGTTCAACAGTGACAAAAATTTGATTAAATTTCAACACAATAAGTGCGGCAATCAAAAATTAAACAGCAATCGCTTACAATCTTAAGTAAAACTTTAAAATTTTGAGCAAGAAAATTTGCAACTTACACGTTTTTTTGCAGCCAAAATAATTGTTTAATTTGCAGTTGCAGACATATTGGCGCCAAAATTGGAGTGATTTTTTTTGATAATTAGCGTCAGTATTTTTCCGCTCTTTAGAACATGCGTGTAAATTATTCTGAAATTTTTCCGCCTTTTTCGGCAGTATTGTACTTCGGCACTGTTGAACGCCCCAATCTTCTCCTACACGCAATGTCATTTACCAAATGCTATATGTTTTGTCGGTGGCGTCCCTCATGCTTGAAGGATCGAATGCTTGAAATTTACTTTAGCTTACTCTCAGCCAATCAGAATTGAGTACTCAAAATCTCAAAGTAAATCGTGATAATCTCAAAGAAAGAAAATAAATCCAGGCCATTAGTGTTAATACTGACCGATTAGATAATAAGCAGATAATTTTTCAAGACTGAAAAGTTCTTATGAACTTGAACTCATAAATTTTGATTTTTATCTGAATAGTATTGCGGTTGTAACCCGCAATTTGTAATATTTTTGATTAATTTCCACTCATTTAAAACATTTTTTTTAATATTGACTTCGATTTTGTGAGAAAAGCATTTAGCCAACAAGAACGCTTAGCGATTTTGATTGGTTGAAACTTTTCAAGCATTCGGTCCTTCAAGCATGAGAACCCTCCCCTGTTTTGTCTACTCACAAAACTCTCTTTATCTATTAAAAATTTATTTGAAACACTTAACTGTCCCAATTGCCATATCTACAAACCACCATATCTTGAAGCCGAACTTGCATCAGAATAACGTATATCACATCATAATTTTGTATCAATTGCATAACATCAGTGACAATCTGTTGTTAAGTTGCATAACATATTAGCTTTCGGCTCGTTGGAATGGTAATCTTATTTCGGTTTGTTAGCCCTTAGGCTTGTTGGCCTACGACCGAATGGATAAGGGTGAATACACCACCCGAATTACAAACCCACAGAAAAGTATCAGCTGTCACTGAGTATATACCATATTGGCTAAAAGTTACCAGCTGAATAAAACTTGCCTTACTTTCGTAGCTGTTATACATTACATAACTATTATGTAACAGTTACAACTGGTTTATATTCCACCGAGTTCACGAGTGAACGAAGAGTTGAAAGGTACTTGCCTCGTTTCAACTCAAATAAGTCGCTGTGGGTCAGCTCCCCATCCATCCAACGTGTCCCCAGACACATCAGAGGCATAGTTGTACATAACCATACTGCTCAAAACAAAAAATTAACTTGGATTATTTAAGAGCTCAAGTTTTTTTCCTCACTATGCGTACTTCAGCTTGCGGTGATGCGTTTTGCTTATTTACTTTCAGTATGTATTATACAAAAAAAAAGCAGTGGATATTCTTGGCGGGGTGGGATCGGTTTTTCAAAAATTATGGCAAACTTTTTTTATCCAACCATTTTGATCTTTTTTAGCTCTGTCGAACCCTTGTTTGATCATATTTGCCAAAAAAAAACGTTTTTGCGCATTTATTGTATAACTAAATACAAAAACTCATATGTTTTTTGCGCGCGCTATCCCTCAAAGTTGGCGCCAAAAAGGCATTTAAAAACCGCTCACATTTTTTAAAGGACAAATAACTTGACACCAAGGGTCGCAAGCTACTGTATAGACTTAGGAACTAAGAAATTGAAGCCAAGATTAGCTGTTCTTAAATGGCTAGTTTTTCCAGTTTAAAAAACTGGCTACTACTGGCAGCAATTTAGGGTGAAAAAGTTTCAAGGGAGCAGTAACGCCCCAAGTAACCAGAAAATCCACTTTAAAACGACCAATAACAAAAAAAAGGTTGAAAAGCTGTTTTTAAACAATTGAAGAAACACTATAAAAAGTTCTTCTTTTTTTCAAAGTCAAATATCAAAACTCTCTTAAAAATAGCCAAACAAAAACGCCACGAACGTGTTTTAAATGAGCCTTTTTGGCTTTTTTTCAAAACCTTTTTCGAATTAGTGAAAATTTGTCGCTTCGCAAGAACAGAACCTCCTCCTTTTGTGGAAAGCTGAATTTTTGAAATGAATGCTCCACTAAACCCGCTATTTATTAAGCCTGTGATTTTTAAGAGAGTTTAAAAGCCGTTTTTCAGGAGAGTAACAATTTTAATAATACTACTACTCAAATTATTTTTGATTGAGGCTACCATACAGTTTAACGACAAACTTCAGAATTTATTTTACAATATCAAGACTAATGAGATCGCCGTAGGTTTTTGATTGAAATAGAATTAATTGCTTTCAAAACAAAATTCAAAAAATCTAAATTTTGTGGTCGGAAAACGATATCAAATTAGTTTGAATGGTGAAAATTTTGGTCGTCAGATTATTACTTTTTTTTGGATTTAATTAACAAGAAATTGGTTAATGAAACTGTTTGTTTCTTTGTTATTGGAACTAGTTATCATTTCCGTGAAATTTTTAGAGCAAAATGTAAGCCGTTGAGCAGGTATAATACATAATTTTTTTTATAATTTTTTTTATTATCATAATTCGGTTTTTATGCATAATTTGTGCATATTGAAAGAATTAATTCATATCATTTTTTTTGGCCAAAGTTTTAGTACATTGGTGAATTTTTTTGGTTAGTTTTTCTTTTGTATTACCTAACATAAGTATTTAAGCAATTCAAAAATGAACAATTTTTGACAGTAGAAATCATGCCGTTTGAGTTGATTAGATGAAGGCTTTTATTTGTTCTATTAAAACAAGCTTCTAATTTATCTTGGTTTTATTAGACATTTTTTATGCTAGCGATTAGCTAGCATTATCAAATCGGACCATAGAATTTTTTTTCGGTTTAACATCTTGTTGAAGAAATCACTTGATGGCTTGATATAATATAAGAAGTTTAAATATAAGAAGTTCCGTTTTTCTGGTGATGCGTGGCCAAGAGGTAAGAACTACGCTTGAGGAGAAGACTCGACGTTTGAATCTGGCCAAGACTTTTTCAAACTGAAAATAATCATCATAATCAAAATATTGTTCGTAATGATAACAATTGTAGAAACTTCTCTAACTCTCAGTTTTAAACTGGTAATAAGCCATTTTTCTAAATCTTTATTTCAAGCCGCCAAGCTTTCTTATAAGCCTATATATAACTTATAAATTGCTTTTTTTTTAATTTCTAAGGAAAGCAGAAAAATAGACCATTTTTGTACACTTTTTTTCAAAAATCTCGGATTTATTCTTTAGTATATATTGTCGATTCTTGGGAATAAGTGGAGGTCGAAAACTAATCAGGCAACTTTTCAAGTATAGTCTTAGGTAGATCTTTGCGTAACGCCGGCCCATTTAAATTTTATGATAATTGATATTTCATAGATATTTTAGACCAAATCGGATCAACTCAAAACCCCATTGTGATCTACCAATCAACCGACATGTCTGACACGATTGAAGAAAACACAAGGATGTGCACTGATGTCCTCTCGCAATGTGACAACAATTCTACTCTGGCTGCAGATTTTTAACCGATAGTAAATCCATCGGATTCACATATCAACCCTCCATTAGTTATCGCTATAAGCCAGTCCGAAATCGATCTACCAGAAGACATCGAGACAGCCTCCGACTTATCAACTCCTTTAGGAGAGTAACGGGCTAACTTAGACACTCCGTCCCAATCAGACAGCTAAATTCCTTCGGAACTATATCAATTCTTGTCTGGAAAAGAGAACTCTCACATCATACTCAATAAATTTCAAACTGTAACCTTGAGTTAGTATTTGCGCTCAGTGTTTAAATTTTCAGTGTTAAATCTAGCTATTCGGCGCTTATATTGGGAAACTTTTTATGGTGGATGCAAAAAAAATTTTGGGGAAGAACGTGAATGCTCCCTCTCTTCAATATTTTTAGTAGCAATTCCAGGTATCAAAAATCA